ATAAATAAATCATTGAACAACGATGTTCTCGGATTTTCAAATTCATCTACTAGCATAATTTAATTGGCTTGAATACACTGAGTTTTGAAAAATCATGTGAATTCTTATTAAATTCCGACCACCTCCATATTCAAACAGTGACCGGTTCGCGCATATTTCTATGCCTGATAGCTATGCTAAGCATAGCGGAGACGCAAGCCGCAACGCACCCGTCACCATTCGATTCGAGCTATATTGTATGCGCACGGTCGTCTGCAGAAACGAACATGTGTATTGTTCATATAGAGTGAACGGCGATGCGTCGGTTGCGTTTGCGGCTATGCTTGGCATATCTATGCTACCTAGCGAATTTAGGCAAGCATAGAAATATGCGCGAACCGGTCACTGTATTCAAAGAAATTATTTTTGTAAATAATTATAATTTGAGATTATTTGAACAAAGTTCTACGGATAAGCTTCACAGGAGATAAATTAAAATTCCAACGATCATCACAAATTCTGCGAAATTTTAAAACGTATTGTTAAAGCTTTCACGCACACACACCGAATGAATATAATAAAACTGTTGGAATCACCCGGAACGAAGCATTTTCTGCAATTTCCTATGATAAATGTGTGCTAAATGAAGGTATGGAAATTTTTTAAATGAATTGAGCTTATATTCATAATGCCAATATAAAGACATGCCACAGATTGCACATGCGATATCAATTGAAGCAGGAAAGCAAAAGCAGCTCGTATCAATACAGTGGAATGGAATAATAATAAATGGTGGTAGAGAGAATACGCCCAAGCAAAAAATAACAAAGAATAAACTTCGAAACCAATTCATTTATGACGATACGAGGGAAATGAGAGAGTCAAAATCGGTTTGGCTGTTTAACAATTTGCATATGTGTGAATCTCACACTGTGCAGAGGCTGTGGATCGGATGAGCTCGAGATTTAAATAATAATTCGTGATTCAGCTGAAGTTTGTGACACGGTAGATGAGTTTTGTACTTATTATGGTGGCAACGTTTCACTGTTATGTGATCCAGTCGCTTTACGTATCTTTTCTAGCAACTGTGACTGATTTCCATTGTGCATCGGCAGGTGTGCAAATTCGCTCGATGAAAATTCATTTTTCTTTCGTCAATTTTTCCCACACATTTTTTTCTCTCGCTCTCTCCAAATTGAAGTGACAATGCAAAAGATGATAAAATGATTGTAATAAAACACACATGTGTCATACGTGAATCTATTGTATTTGAATATACAACGAAAAATTACAAATCTATAGATACTATGACCGAGAAGGTGGGAAAGAGGGAGAGAGATAGAGGGAAAGAATAGTCTATTGTACAAATCGATATCATAGCAACGTGAGCCACACACTGGGAGTGATTTGATGGGTATTCCAATTTAGTAGATGTCGATACACACACACTTACCACCCCATTCCAAATCACACAACCGAGATAAATATACATAGACAGACCGAGAATTGGTTGCCTTAAGGTCGCACAATATTATTTATTGTGTGGATTTCCCTTCATCTCTCCCACTTTTATATTCTTTATTTCGCATCGTATCTTGGACATACATTGTGTCTCTAGTGAAAGATATGGAATGAACTTTTGTTTTTTTCTCGGAACTGTTCATTTATGTATTTCACACCCGGTTCACTTTATTAAAAGTCGTCTCCATATTGTGTATTTTCATGCATTTTCACCGCCATATTTTCATCAATCACTCACTGTGGTGGATGTGAAATCGTAAACAATGAAATACGCAGAAAACGAAGAAAAAAAAGTCTCGCATTGTATGTGTCTGGCCTATTTTTATGAGAAAAATGCACATTTATATTCAAATGATAGGCACGTCGTGCGTGTTCACAAAACTCCAATAATATATCAATCATCATCATTATTACTATGGCATTATTTTTGTAATCATCTTCATTATTTTTATATGATGTGATCATCGCCGCCCTAGTCATTGTCATTGTTTGTCTCATTTCTTTCAGAAAGATTCAAATCCAAATCTCTTTTCTCTTTTCAACAGCTGAATTTTTGTAAAAAAGAAACTGTCTTCACTAGAACTCAACATATTTTTATTGTATTAAATTCAAGTCTCATAATTTGCTACAATATCGATTCAGATGCAGCCGTAAAATGAATTAGAGCATTGTTGTTCACTGTGTTAAGGGATGACGGTCATTATGTTGTATCATTACACTCTTGAGCATAAAAAATGAGTGCAGAATGCTTGATTGTAGTTTTGATGGATCCATTGAATTCGATATCAATGGATGGTATAGTGTTTTTTGTCACTTGTTGAATGAAACGAATGGAGGAGCGAAATAGAGAGAGAGAGAAAAGCTTTCAGTTTGAAATCAACCCAACTATAAGATGAGTTATTTGTTCGAGTATATTTGTTGATAAGTTTTGCTCGATTGTGCTGAAAAGATTCATCGAGATCGGTTTGTATATATTTCGCAATATGCCTTAAAATATGCAATTTTTTTTTATTCAAGCAGAAGTTCGAGACTGGAATTATAAATGACAATTCTTATTTATGCACCTGGTTATTCTTCTCTCTCTCTCTCTCTCATTCTTTCTAATGGGAATGGAAATCCGTCATGTGATTGACATGAGTTGGAAGAAAGAGGCGACTGTCTATGTGCGATAGGTGAGTGAGTGTTTGTCACCGTATTTGTCACGATGTAAACTGCAATCGAGCGACAGAGTCATTTATTTTGCTTTTGTCATTGTTGAATTGGAATTGAAACACAATTCGAAATAATTGTACTGATCCAATGCGACATGGTTTGTTTCTTCGTTTCCATCGAGATGGATATATATAGAATGTTGTCATGGAATTGCATGAATGTTTCAATGATATTTGAATATGAATGAGTAAATCAAATATGGCACCATGAATGGAACAAGTGTGAAAAGCAAAGTGATGCTACGGCGATTTTAGAAATTCAGTTGTAAAAGACAAGATGTAAAATTTGATGGGGTTTTTCTCGTGCACCGAGCACGGGACAGTACTTCTTTGATATGAAGAGAGAGAGAGAACGGTTGAACGTATCACCCAAGAAAATGACGGCAACAACAACGAAAAAAGACAACGAATATGTATATAAAGAAGTACAGCAGATAAATGTCGATGTGAAATGTGCGGCGGGAACGAGGAGCGCAAAGAAATTGCGTGAAAAATAAATGAATATTGCGCGAGATACGGTTGCCACTTTTCATGCAACTCGGTGGCAGTGAAGCGCGAAGACAAACGACTAACTTTTGATGGTTTTTCAACCCATACATAAGCATAAGCACTTGCACTACCAACTATTTGCACTCTTTGTATACGGTGTGTAGTGAATTTCGGGTTTACCTTCAATGTAAGCGATTTGTAATAAGATTTTGCGTTAGTTTTCATCTTCCGTTCGCTCGAATTTTTTCATTCCATTTCAAACACATTTTTTTATCGTTTTACAGTCTTCTGTTGCATGATAAATGTTCAATTTTTCATGTGCATACCTAATTTGATGGTATCTTTTACTACCACACTCATACATGCCAAGTGAAAATTTTGCACGGAATAAGCAAGAGGAAAAATGAAAGCCATAAGAAGCTAACACCATTTTCTGTTGAAAAGTTGAAAAGGTGCAAGTATTGAAGTTGACTTCTTTGTCTACAATTTTGTTTCCGTGCTTCGGTGGCACAATACATGTGAGCAAAGATGAAAAATCAAATAAAAAGCTATGCCACAAGCACAGCACCGCATAAACTCAGACATACTCAATATTTATGTCTGTCTTTCTCAATGTGCGCGCACAGCGTATGTGGGAACTTTTTTGATTTTTAAGAATAACGGGTAAAATCAATCGTTGTAGTTATCATCTCGGCCCATTGAAATTTTTTGTAGTCGAATAAAAAACAAAATTTAAGTTCAAACTGTTTGTGATCGGTTGTCAAAGATTTTTGGTGCTTACATTTAAAGCAAGTGCAAGAGTACGTTCGACATCGAATTTACGTTAATTTTATCACAATACAAATGCATTCGCCAGCTTTTGGCATAGTTTTTACCGTTGACACAAACTTCATGACACATACGAAACTGTCAGTACTTTCGAAATGTAAGATAACCACTACTTTCTTTCTCATATCTGCATTTTCGCCCTACTTTGCTGATGAATTTCAGCCATATTAACGTCTGCTCGTGGCATACATTAATTTCAAGATGTATGAATATTGTTCTAACATCATACGTCTAATTTTTCGTTCTCAATTCTTTGCAGTTTGCACTTTTGAAACTATGTGAGCAAATGCATTTGCCATTTTATAGTGTGCCACATCTTTTTTCGACGTCGCACATTTAAAATCCAGCAAATTCATCTCATTTGTATTCTTCGCGTTCATGGCACATACACACGAGCGGAAACAGAGTCGAAAGAGAAGAACAAAAAAATGTGATCCATTCAAAAGTTCTACATAGGGTGCGAAGAGTGAAGAGAAAGAGATGTCGAAATCGATTCACGAACAGAAAACGACGATACGAAACGAAGTGCTTAAAAGAAGTTTTAAGTAAATGGATACATATATCATTACGTAAATGCGCTCATATGTAGCTTACTTCCGAATTCAATGGGTACACCTTTATATGCGAACACATTGAATGAAAGTGTTCGGTGCTGTAAAACTTTGCTCAAATGACAATTCATTGCCAACGATAACAATTCATTTTTCAAATTAGTTTTAATACGCTGATACTTATATAATACAAATTCAATATTCATTTTTGCAATTGTTACAAAACTGTTTCAAAGTACGCAGCAATGGCGTTATTCTTAACAGTAACATCTTCGAAAAAGTCCATTACAAGCTAAAGTAATGCATTATTCTGTGCAGTTCAACCCACGTTATTTGAAACTTAAATAGAATCATATTGATGAATATATTTTTTGTATTTTATTGGTTTGATGCTCTTCTTAATAAAATGCAATAAACTTACCTTCTGGCACTGCATTTGAAGTGCTTAAATAATGTACCAATGAAGCGCCCGTACCATGTCCTGCCAGTGTTACACTTTGTGGATCACCGCCAAAGGCGCCAATATTCTCTTGTAGCCAATGTAAAGCGGCAATGATGTCCATCAAACCATAATTTGCTGGAGCTCTGGCATTGCGATCAGTATTCGCATTCAAGAAACCTATAAAATGTGTATAGAAACCGAACAAAAAAATTACTACATATTCATAATGTATGTGCCAAATTAAAATTAAGAATTTTCAAGCACATCGAATTATCATCACAATTGCTGTTCATCTTAACCATATACTATATTTTCCGTTGGTATTTTATACTGTCGACATTTAATGGTCGAGAACTAAAAATACCGAATCATATATTGCTGTATGAATTTTCACATTTTAAATGTCATCGGCACTTTTCGTCAGTTCTATAATTCGTTGTCGTACATCTCAATGCAATTAAAATTGTGCGAACCTCTATTACCCTTGAAATGGTGATGGTGTGCGCACAAGCGTGCCAAACTACCAAACATAAATCACATTCAAAACACCACATTGTCGTTATTATTATTGCCTTTAACATCATAAAATACCCAATTTTAAAGCAATAAAGAAGCAAATTACTCGCATTGCACGTAGCATCAGAATATTTTTTGGCTACAATTCCAGCATTGATATACTTTTTTTTTCGAGCCCATACACGCGTATTTCTTAGCCTGCTTTACAATTCTTTTTTTTTCCTCGATGGCAAATTTTATTATATTTTTCTACTTTGCACTCTCATTTGTCGCGTTTTAATTCTGCTTTTAATGGTTGCGTACAAAGCACATTTACATTTTTAATTATACGCCATATTGTAAAATTATAAAACGTGTTATTATAAAACAATCGTTAAAAATTACAGCGACAGCAGCATTGATTGGAACGACAACAACACTAAGGCGACACTTCAAAATTTAACAAAAACCATCAAACGAACGCTGCGTCATTGTATTGTAAGTGGGTAATTGGTATCATATTCATGTTAGTCATTTTAACCATTTCTCAAAATCGATGCATTTAACAACAATGTGGACATTTTAGTATTTTCAATAAATTATTCATTGTCCGTCTTTTTTCTTTCGTATACTCTTCATATGATAAAATTAGAGAAACATATTTTTACACTGAAATTTCATATTCTTGTATAATCAATTTTGATCGGAGTGGAATGAAACACTCATTTTTACTAAGATTGTTTGAGAAAAAATTCCTCCGATTTGCCAAGGGGCTTTTTAATTGTCGGATGGACCTCCCTCCTTAAATTTCCACCGTGCCCATATATGAATTGTATTATAATAAATAATATGAAATTGTCATATATGTGATTGACATATTAGGACACACGATCCAATAATAATAGAGTTTTATTTTCTTTAATTTTAATATTAATTAGTAATTTCATGGTGTTTTTTACTGGTTCGACGTCTAGTATAAATCAAATTAACGCACATGTCAAAAGCACAAATTTGCTTCTCATTTTTTAATTAAATTTTAATGCATTTTTTGTACGTGTCAACAAAGGTTCTAAGCTAACATTCTAATTATTATCGTCATAATAGATTAATATGGATATAATAATGGATGTTATTAAAAGCATTCACAAGAGAAAAATTGAAATAAATGGAGATCGCAAACCCAAATTCAATAAATATATTTCAGTAGAATTTGTGTATTATTGAATTGATAAATTGAATCGATAGGGAAGGATCACTTTAAAATTTAAATGAGACAAATAAACAGATAAACGAGAGAATTTAAAAAGTGTGTGAGATTCGATATGAACTCAATATTTAATACATATTGATGAAAACAAATAGAATTCGGTTAGAATTCATTTTGCGAAAACTCATCTCTTCCAATGTATCTCGTCCAACATTTAAAGTCATCTTGGAATTTCTTGTTATCTCAATTTCTTTTTTCAAACTCAAGATATGTAACATGAATGTTGACATTTTTCTGTCCCAATGTGCTATTTCTAAACATGAAAAAAAGATCACGGCCTTATTTAGAACCACGAAAGAGAAAAAGAATATGTTGGTCGTTTGAAAAGGTTAATATTTATGTAATTTCCCAAGAGCCGTTTAGCGTTCTTGTGTGCAAAGACGTTTTGTTTAGAACGACAAAAAAACCTGAATCAACTCAGACAGAAAAACCATACGCATTGATGTGTACATTCCGATAGCTCAATGAGTCTGAACATTGTGCTTCATTTGGTTTTTGTTTGACTCTATTAAATGGACATTGGTTGATTTGGAAATATCTTTACCTAAAGATTTATATTAACGAGATGAATGGGAACAACCTTTACATAAATCGACAAAGGACATTTGAAATGTATTTTAATCCTATGCCCATTCTCTCTCTCTCGCTTCCCCACTGCTGTGCATTATTTATCCAATTCACATTTAACAGGCACTTCACTTGGAAATCAATGGAATGCTGAAATTGAACAGACAGTATTTAAAAGAGTCAAATGTTTGATAGGCCACTTCAATTTGGTGACTGAATTTCTAACAAAATGCTCAAATAGAATTTGAATGAATTGAGCCACATAATGATTTTATTTTTGCAATTTAAATGCTGTCGACTGAATAATTCACTGGAGAATATATAAATATATAGAAATGTATACTGTTCGAGGAAGGGAACAATCTAATGGAATTGAGGTAAAAGCTCGTTACCGATGTCGAGACGCCGACTGCGGATTATATATATCATGAGATGTTTAATATGATTTTGGTAAATCATAAATAAATAGATGGAGAATGTTGATGTGAAATTTATCGCATTGAGTTGTCGCAAAATCAACCCGTGAATTCATTGTTTCAATGATTTTTGGTGAATCGTTTATTTACCGTTATTCTCATATCGTTGTTCGTCGTTCAACTGCCAATCTTATACAAATATTTGAATTGACGGTTTTACAAGTTTACATACTACCGCCAAAGCGTATTTCTCCCAAAACCACTTTTTCACGTTACATACTGCCATTTGACAGAAGCATATTTATGTTTGCATGAAATTTTTATCATTCTGGTTTTTTGCACTCTAAATGAAAATTGATTGAAAACATATTAAACGTCAATATTTTTTTTTTGATAGAAAAGGTAAAATGGAAACATTTTATTTTATTTTATGCTCTGTTTTTGTTGTTGTTTCTTGCTTGACTTGATGGTGAACCTCGAGAAATCACAATTTGATGCCTGAATATAAATACATTCGACAACAAAATGGCTTTTAATATGATGAGAAACGTGACATTTCACATTGATTTGGTTTGCAGTAACCGATTTTCTTATCAAGAATTATTTTTTTACCGTTTTTCAATCTATTTTAATCTTCTTCCAACAAAATTGTATTAAAACAAACACATACATTTCGGTTAAAACTTCGCAGAAATACAAAAACAATTTGTCATGAATATATCTTAAATCAGCACGAACGTCAATGAAATGAAGAAAAGGGTATTGCCCAATGTGATTTGATTAACTTTAAAATGCGCATCATAAATAAAATTTTATAACTATTAATAAGATGAGCAGATTTCTAAAAAATCATAATTTTATTAAAAAAGAAACATCGAAAAATAATTCTCTATAAAACAAACATTGACAGACTTGATGATAATGAAAATCATAAGAAAAAAGAAACTATAACGATCATTCGATTGCATTAGAATGAGTGAGAACAAAAAAAATCGAATTCTTCAACCAATCAAATAACAAACCGAATAGTCAAGGTTAACATTGATTTAATGAAAGTTTTCTCCATAAATTCCCATGAAATGTGCAAATGGTACATGACATAATTGGAATGTTCGAAATAGGATGTTGGCAATCGATTTCTGACGCCAACTCTTTTGCAAATCTCCTTCCAACCGTCAATCAATGAATAAAGTTCCAATTCAACAATGTAATGGAAATCGTTCATGAAACACACGGCGTCAGCAATAAATGTAATAACACACATTGGATGCGATAACGATAGCAAAGAAAAAGACGAAAAGGGAAAGAGTGAACGAGCAAAAAATAATAATAGAGATTGTGGCACAGTTTGCCAGTAATTGGAACAAGTCAATAAAATTTTCTTTTGATTCACCGTTCGTTCACTTCAATCATGCTGATTAGAAGCGTAAGCTAGTGTTATTGACGCAACGACAAGATATAAAGAAAATTGATTCTAATTACATTGCAAACTTATACAAGCAATTTTTTTTCTGTTCGTTTCGTTGCAAAAGTAACTTATGCCTAATTACAGAAAATATTTATATAAATCTCTTAAGACGACAATCTGTTCGCACCGTTATTTCCATGCTAATGTGTAAGGAAAAAGTGGCAATTTTTTTGTGTGTGTTCTCTCAAGGGAAGTTTTGTAAAATATGCAAAGAAAATGTATCAACATTGTTTGTTTTAATTTTCCACTCTATCTGTTATATATGTAGCGTGACATCGGAAGCAAAATATCCAACAAATCCGGAAACAGCGGGAGGATTTGAGACGAAAAAAAAGATAAGCAAAGAAAGCGGAGTGTGTAAGTTATGCTTGTGCACAGGCATTAAGTTGTTGCCGAGTTGAAATGAGCTTATTGCAGAGAAGAAATATATGCGTATGTGCCGAATTAAAGTTTATGCACAAATGTGAAGCTCATGTTGTTCTGACAAGCGCATGAAATATTTTTACATAATTCTTTCTGTATTTATTTGCTCATTTTAGTCGTATACGTATGTATATGGATATATGTGTGGGTTGGATGCTGTGTGCAATAAAATGTGATGACGCCATGAATAATTATTATTATTTGTGTTGAAAATGTAATTAAATTTAGACATTTTGCTTACATTCCGGGATATGCTACATTGCAAAATAAACATACTGTTAACTCATGTGTCTTGTGCTGTGATGAAAGTTGTTTAATCCAAGCCATTTCACGCATTTCAAACGGTGCTAAGTGAAAAGCACTCGGCGAGCACAAACTACGGCTTGACTGTAAAACGACAACAACTGAATTGAAGTTTTGCTTAAATCTTTAACTAAAACACACGTACAGTAGATTCATAAGTTTTACTTATTTTCGCACCGAATTGCTGTCTGTCAGAAAACATGCATTCAAATTTCCCATGAGAATTATTAAGTCGTCAAAATGCCGCCAACGTTCAATCTCAATTCGGTTCGTGCGATTTAAATGAAAAAGAAGAAGAAGAAGACGCGCGCTGCTCATCACACGCCAAGTCTAGCAAGTTTACGAAAATTCATCCAAAGTTCGGCATGTGTTTTAATTGAGAGTGATTCATTCAGTACCAGACTGTCAATCTGACTTTTTTTGGTTGTTGTTAGTTTTTGTTTGTTCGCTCATTAGTGTTTGATGGCTCTAGTTCTATTTTACACACCCCGAAAAAAACATTTCGCACAATAATGCGATAAGTATCTCATTACTTGTACTAAGTATCCGAAACGGAAACAATTAATCAATGTTGTGAGGCGTTCAAGGTTGGCCATTGCATGCAAATTTGTAATGTGAGGTGAACCAGGCAGGCAGACAATTGAAAAAGTGAAGCCAAACTGTTGCACATACACTATATATTCGATTAGCTCTACCCTTCTCCGGCACTTGCATTGCTTGTTTAAATTGACTATTTGAGTGAAATGTGTTTGTTTGCCTCTCAGCCAGAACGTAATTTTGTATGCATCGTTCTCACCAAGACATATCATGGAAATTTGCATATAAATTATTCACAATTTACATACGACACAACCATAAAATATGCTCAACCTCGATGTTGTCTCTACAACAACAACATCACCAGCACAAGCAACACATTTTATGTACTTCCACACACTTATGAAATATAAACAGAACTAAAGCAATTGACAGAAAGAATGAAAGAAAGAAAAGTACGAGAAACTCAATGCCTTCATATAATGATAAGAAATGGAACACACACAGAGAGACACTCCTGTGCGTACGCTCAATTTTCTTCATTCACATGCAAATCATCCAATAAACACTTTCATTCAACTAGTCAAAATGAAAGCAGAACTATTTGAATTGCTGCTGCCATTTATGCTGCAACCGAGAAAATGTGTGTGCCTGAGCGCACATAATGCCTGTGCACAACACGACCGAAATGAAAATATTTCCTTATAATTACAGTAAAAACCGCAAGGGAGCCGTCAGGCCGTCAGACAACATTTCAACAGCTACTTGATGTGAGAAATGAAGTTTTTTTCAAATCGAAAACTGACATTTATATTTCTCTAGTGAACGGTGAAAACTTTTCAAAGAAAGCGTTTCCAATTTAATGAACAATGATTATAATATTTTAGTTATACGTATGCTGTTTAAATAAATAATCGATTATATTGTGCTGGGGATTAATTCAAAAATGAATTGCTCGTTTTTATTTTTTTTGCCATGCAATTTCTAATGCATAAGTCCTTCCATTAGTTAATCGGTGAAATCTCTGTGGTACACATTCAAATTGCCGGCATAATATTTAAATATTGATGGCAAATAATCGACTTCATGAAACTATAATCTTTGTCATCATCGAATGTCGTCAAGCTTTATAGAATTTAATCGTTTGATACATATATTATGTCGTTCGTTGAGCACGATAATCATCGTTCGGTGCCAAAAGCGCCAATGTAGACATCGAAAATACGAAAATAGAACTGTTTATTTGCGGTAAAACTGGGCTGATCAGTCAGCTCAGAATATTGTCTGCAAATATACATAAGTCGTCACGGATGGCTAGAAATTATAAATGAACGTCTCGTTGCAGTATTGGTATATGTAGTACAAAAGTGACTTTAAGAGCATATGCTGTGGGTGCGCTTATTTCTACCCTCTTCTCATAATACAGAAATTTTATTTCTTTTTTTTTGCTTTTCCTGTTATACGGACTGCATTCTGTAGACGATACCAGAGAAAAAGATTATAATATTCCCATAACTGGGTTGAAATTCTTTGCATAGCCGTGGCGCATATGCACGTACACAGTATACACTATATAATTGAAGAAGAAAATACAACCGATGATTCCCACGATGATGTTTTCCAGCAACGGAGTTTTATTTTCAACAAAATAAAACATTTGTGGCGGTTTATTTTGTGTTCGTATAAATTAAATAATATTAAGATGAGCATTAATTAATTGAAAATGCTGTTCCCATACATAATTTATAACATAATGTATGTGATTAAAGTGATGATGGGATGGTGCATATGATTGAAATAACTATTATAAATCCAAATGATTTGTGTTCAATGAATCAATATAATGTTACAATGATTCATTTTATGTTGTATTGAACAAATGAGCAAATTGATTTTTCCCCTTTAAATTCCAACCAATTTATTTCTGATTGGATTGCGTAAATTTGTCATTGACCGCAAACGCCAGTGAAATAGTGATAGGAAAAGCGTGATGGAGGTAGCGAGAGATATAAATTGAAATGTGATTGAGCATCGCATTCCACACATACAGTATCAGATACACAGGTGTAAGATAATTGGTATACGTTACAATTTTCCACAAGAATGCAATCAATGCGATGCAAACGCAATTAATGTTTTAAGTAATTATACAAACACACACACATACATACATACAAAAATATCTCGAATACCAATTTTAAGTCGATTCATCTTTGCAGATAATTTGGTCGAGATTCTTAGATTGAAATTAGCTTCAACCTTTAATCGTGATCTATGTCTCTTTTTTATTCTTTGTTCGATAATAATATTTCATTAGTTTAAATCTTTTGTTTGATATTTGTTGTGTCAATATGTGAACGTCGCCTTGTGAGCAAGTGTTGGCAATAAATTCCGGTAATTCCGAATTGAGGGAAGGGTAAATACTTGAATATATTTAGCATTTCACGCTCAACTGAACGGCGATTATCCAAAGAATTTGCTCGTCAAAGGAGTCATTGTGTACTCTACAACAGGATTCCACGGTGAAAAGAGAAAAAGAGAGGGAGAGCGGTCTTCATGGAGAAATAGTGGTATAGTAATGACGGCGTGCAATAATGGCAAACGAATTAAATAAACGACTTTGAACCTGCAAATAAAACATGCAGTAATGCTGCAAAGCACTTATATCGACACATTCATCCAATTGAAATGTATTTGTGCTACTGCTATAGCCACAGGCGGTTTATGTTGTATCCAAGAATGGTTCTGACTATCGTGCTTTTTCCTACCTTACATGTAGAAACTTGTGTATATAAGAACGTTCATAATTACGGTTAACTTTATGTGTGTATTCGAGGTGTTAATTTATGATGTAAAAAGTGTTGGTAAATTTGAAGAAAATCGTAATTCCAATGTTTTCATACATAATAAAAGATACCTTTCTCAACATAAAATCTATTGCGAAAAAACATTGGATCGACTCTATGCAATGCTAGATGACGACCCAATGGAAATACCAACATCAGTATGGTGTATTCAACAACACAGCGCATGAAACATGATGAAAAAAAGGTCAATTTATCTTACCTAATATTCCTAAGCGATAATTAATAGTAACAACTAATATTTGTCCGTAGGAAGCTAGAACTGAACCGTCGTATGGATTGCCGCTATTCCATTCGTATGATTCGCCATGTACAAAAACCATCACTGGATATTTGGTTGGATTTGTGCTGCTGCCGCTGTTTCCACTGCTGCTGCTATCTCTGGAACCAACTGTATAACAAAAACAAACAAGAGAAGAAATGAAGATGGAACAAAAAAATAATACAAACATTAGCCAAAATGAAGTAATGTCGTACTATAATAAGGTTTTGTTGAAAGAGATTTATATTAAGTTACTAAATCGGTTTCGTTTAACGCGTCTCAAAATCTCTACAATGTACAGTGTATTTTGTCTACATTTTGTCAATTTGAGTGGTGTCCGATATGGTATACTTTTATACATCCAATCTCAATGTGTCTGTATGCTTTGTCATTCGCTTAGAACTAAACAGTTTGCGTCTATTTGTCAATCGATGAATGAGTTTGTCATTGAGTGATGGTGAATAAACAAAATGCTGGGCTTCGTATATATGAAACGCGATAGCATGCGAATAGATAGTGAGCAAAAAATTGAGTCAACGATTTAATTTTGAATGCAGAATTCGATTGTGGTATTAGCAAAATGAAATAACCATCGAAATGGTATTGGACAGTAGATTCCAATTGCTTCAACTCGAAAAGTAATTTACTACGATGGCTTCTTTTTTCCACTTCTCCGACGGCAATCCATTGCCGATCGGATGTTATTTCTCTGCACAAAGGATTTATCGGTTTTAATTTGTAAAAAGGGGGCAGATATGTGAGTGAAAGCGAGAACGAGTGAATAATAAACGACCAAGTAATAAAGGATTATGTTTTTTTTTTTTCATTATAAATTACGAATATTGAACTGCAGCCACCATTATTTGCAGCCGTAAAAAAGGTATGAAGTGAATACAAATGACTGATGTTAATAAAAGAGTGGCAAATCAATCGTAATTTGATGATTGTACATTGAAACATGCCTGAAACAAGATTCTATTAACAAACGAATGTGAGTGGAAAAAAAGTGGCATAAAGCAGCTGGAGACAAAAAGAAGAGCTCATAGAAATGCTGGACTGCAATAAGCTTTGGCCTAAGTCAGTGAAACATGAGACCAGATTATTTGAGAAATGAGTAAACAAAAGCCCATTTTTTTCATCATTGACATTATTCGAGTGTGTTTTTCTCTGTCCTTTTCTTTTTCTCTCGCACTCTCTCTCAAACATACACTCTTTCTATCTTTTCAGCGAACAAATTGAAGATGACGAGTGATTTTCCTCTCCAAACACACCAAAAAACGATTTGAAGCCGAAGAGTAATGGCGTCACCCTCTATTTTAGTTTGAAACGAATAACAACGTGTTTCAATATCCAGTCACAATGTTGAAATTGAGTGTGGACTCTTTATAGGAAGCATTTTGTGAAGAGCAAACTCAAATAGAAATCGAGTGGCTTTTGGACACGAGTTACTTTCAACGTGCTTATTTATCAGATTTTGCGTGCAGTGCTTAGTTATTAAAAGAGCAAATTGAGCTACACGCCGCAGTCACTTCGCAATGGTTGCATTGCATTTCTAATTAAAATTGTGCGAAATAACGCCCCGAGCACGGGGTACCATTTCAAGCCAACTATGGTTAATGAAAGTGGGTGTCAGTGTCAAAACCAATTTTATTGCCTGATAAATGCCAAATAATTTTTGCGTTGTGAATAGAAATCTACGTTTTATACAAACACATCCGATGATGGCTGAGCACGCATTACAAAAATGGTGAACATTTCAACATCAATATTTATGCGCTTATATTTGCTTTGTTACTAGTTTCATCTCGAATTGGTCTTTGTCTTTCGAACGCACGGTTGACTTCGAAATGAATTTACGGAAAACTGTTTCCAATTTTTATGGTGAAAAGTTCTCGTATCATATGCCACAAGCGTTTCGATTTTGTAATAGTAGAAGTGTAGTCGAGAAAAAAAGTTTTGGAATTCATAGTCTTGAATCAGAAATGTGCCTTGATTGCCATGCAATCGACGCATCGTTTTCACGAGAACAAAAAAATCGAATGAATTATGATGTGCTTCTGGGAAGTGGGAGTAAAGTTTTTTCACGTGAGATTCATCATTCTTTCAATATATCCGACACGTAAATGTGAACAAAGTTTCTCTCTTCAACTTTTTCCATCCTCTTCTCTGTTCTCTCTCATTTTCCCCTCCCACATCTACCTCATACACACCCATCCTTCATTCTTGGATACCAATTAATATGGGGCAAAAACGAGAACTAACGACTTTTATTCGAAATTTAAAACAACGATGACGTTCCGCGATCTTGCATCGCATATTTCATTTATCTCTCAACGATGTGAGAAATTCTGTTGAAAAGAAGTCACTAAAATTGCATAAAAAATGGGTTGATTGCGAAATATTTTCATTTCGATGGAGTGAAAATGTTAAGCATCAGCGTAACACTTTTGAAAGTATTTGCAGCATTTAAAAATTTTTCACTTCAGTTTCTTCATCTTTTTTTTTTGAACCATTCGGTGTATTCAGTAGTCATTGGCAACTTCCAGTTTTCCACATTTTCAAGTTGTAATAGTCATTTGAGCTTTTGACTTAATTTATTTTAACTGTTGCAAACATACAACGACAACGACGACAATGAACCCAACCAAGATTTTTTTCTCATTTGCCTTAGGGTTCAAACTGGGTAAAAAGTCACGACTTCACATTCACTGACGAAAAAAAAAATTATTATGAATGCGACACCATTTTATTTTTGCCTAGATTTTCCCACAAATTCTGCGAATAATTTTCGAAAAGTTACTATAGACAACTTTTTTCTTCTCTCGTTGCGTGCGCGATGAGATATTTGTTGTTTCCTCCTTTACACAGAATTCTTTTTTAAAAAAAACTGTTCACAGGTCAGTCCGTATGGGATTGCGACAAAAAGCGAAAAACAAGTCCTATGATAAAAGAATTCAATTATTTTCGTATATTTATAAAGTTAGATTCTCTTTTATTTTAATGCGTTGACGCGAGAGTTAAAATGTAAAAGTATAAATTGGCTCTGCTTTGTCGACACAGTTTGAACGCATGCAAAAGGGTCTAATGGTTTTGTTTTCATTAGCATTGCTCATCGAAATAAAAAAAAAAACGTTGAATAGTCAAACAAAGCAAAAAAAAAATAACACTGGAAAAATATAAGAAGGTTTTTTTAAAATAAGGAATCTTGTGAATGGAAATAATTAAAGTCGACGTGAAAAATTTGTTATTTCTTTGTTGTTGTTTTTGTTGAATGACGGCTAGACCATTGTTTCGAGCACATTGCGTGTGTAAGATTGTGTCTGCTGTTAAGTGGAAATATCTGCAGTGCCAAATGGATTTTTCGCAGGTCAAAAACAACTCATGCAAAAAAAATCCACAGAAACGCACCACACATTTTCGAGGGATCTTCACATTCGCACACATATTGAAACTTCAGCAATGAATGAAACCTTTTCAATAAGAAAACTTTGTTTCGATTCACACTTTTCGTCTTTCGTTCATTGTTTGGTATGCGAAACCACTCGAACCCTTAAAAAATGAAACATGGCACATTTTCTGTACATGTCGAAAAGTATATAGTTGAAAACGACGATACCCAAATAAAATATTTTGTCCATCAACAACAAAAGCCCACACGCATTTTTTTGCCTTTGAATCTGTTAATTTTGGGTTTGTTTTGAATTATTGGGTAGCGATTGCTTCTGTCTCTGTCTAACTTACTTCCAAATCAACAACACAAAACATTCTCCAGCAGCAGGTAGAACTTTGACCAGAAAAGTAGAGATGAAAAAAATTAAATACAACGTGCGCTATAGCTGTATACAGACGGAAAAAAATTGCAACCACTTTCAAGGCTCTTTTTCTTCAAATCAACTTTGATATAGATGAATCAAGTTAATTTGGCAGAAAATACCAAAATCAATTGTGATGGTGAATTGCTCATCGAAAATTGCGGCAATCGAATTTGAGTTGACTTTATTTTGTTTATTTCAGGAACACCATTTTTATTCCATGATGGTTTTCACTTGAAAATTAATAAAATAATGAACAAATTAGAAGCAAAAAAAAAAATCATTTAAAAACCAATTTAAATCCGAGATAACTTTTTGTGAGCCTTGCAAAAATAACCTAGAAATTCCTAGAAATGATAAATGTAAACATTTTAAAGAATCTTTTTTCATTTAAAGAAAAACGATTATTTTCATCTCTATGTTAGCCCTGCGGATGATATTCTATAATAAAGCTTAAGCATTAAAAAATCATAGTTTTCAACCCCAATCAGATTGAATGAAACTTAAATGCCAGTGCATAAGAGGTACATTTTGCCGAGCGACGAACGTGTCTATAATAAACAAAGTTCATATCGTTCGACATAATATATACATATAAGTGTATAATGCTCGTAATTCTCTGATCTCATCAAAAATGATGATAAAATAAGTAATTTTCAGCACATGACGAGTAAATCCAATGAAAGATTATTGTTTATTTATCCCAAGAAACTCATCCAATGTTCGAAAAAGATTCATTATGGGAGTATGAGTGTGTTCAGTGTATATATATTCCAACGTTATTTAAGAACGGTTACATTTTTACTCGTGTGTCAACCAACTATGATGCATGAGTATGTAATCCATCATATTTAAAATCCGTTTCATCTAAACATCACATTTTGCATACGGTTCTTTTTTTCATGTGCACTGAAGCAACTTCACAAGCAAAATAAACACTCGTTTCGTTTGGATTTTCTTTCAGTCCAATAACCTGAACGAGGCAATACTTTAGCTTACATAGTCCATACTCAACATTTATTGCGTTGCATGAATTTCACTTGAAATGTATAGATTAACGTCATCAAAAAACCTGAGCTTTTTAATTGTTCGAGGAATGGGAAAATCTTGAAATTTCACAGTTTTATATTCAACTATTCGTTGAATTTCGAGCTTTTGGATATTTTGGATTTAAGGTCACAGAGCACAAGAACCTATTTATATTGCGTTATACTCATTAATTCGTAAATATTGAAATTAACTGCTAACGAAATCGGATAATTCTTTTCAGACGATTTACCTAAATATAGAAATGCCAGGAACTTTTTGTGACGACCA